GATACCCCGATTTTCTGAAATGATACAAAATACATTCAAAACAACCTCGTATAAATTCATTGAATATATTAAAGTGCTGAAAGACGTTTGACGACTAACAATTAACAATACAAGAATATCACGAAGGCAGAACAAACCATAGAGGCACAGTCAAAACGGAAAAACGAATAAAAGAAACTTACTATTGGCCGATACCTGCCCATACATCCAACAACTGTCCTGTAATACCCCCTTCTCAACCTCAGCGCTGTTGAAGTTGCTAATAAGTTACTCACTTATATCAATCATCATGGTTTTCCTGAATCACTCAGCTCAGATAACGGAACCGAACTGATGAAAGAACTCATCCAAGAATTTGCAAACACAACATAAAATTACCCTCGATCATCCTGAATCTAAGAAAATCGTGAAACGATTCCATTCCAAAATTATTGAACAATTGAGGATTTTTCAAACTACACACAAAGACCTTGAAAGAACTCATCCAAGAATTTGCAAACACAACATAAAATTACCCTCGATCATCCTGAATCTAAGAAAATCGTGAAACGATTCCACTCCAAGATTATTGAACATTTGAGGATTTTTCAAACTACACACTACACTACACCTTGACATGATTAAACAAATGCCTTATGCAATCATGGGATATAACCATTCAATACATTACGCAACAGGAAGAAATGATACTCATTCATGTAATAACTGGACATCTATCCACCTCCGACCCTTTCTATATCAATATTTAAAGCGCCTACATGGCAGCTCATAAAAACAAGACTTCCGTGGTCTATAGACACCTCAATGAAAAACCCAACAAATCGAAACAAAAAGTAATTGAAAAACGGAACGCAAAACAAAGAAAAGACACCGGCATACAAACGCACTGAGGCACGTTACAAATTGGTTCCACAATCTAAAAAAGTAACTGTTTTAAAAGAGCAAAAGACAAAATTTAAATTACCTAAGAATACCTTAAAAAAATCAAGTTTCAAAAGACCATTGTTTAAGGTATGTCCTATCGCTGATGATGAGCCAGGAAGTTCAAATACATTCACTAAATAAAAATCCAGGTTTCCTACCCTTCCAATCAGGACCCGCACGAGTCAAAAGTAATGACCACACCGTTATTCATTACTTTGACCTTACTCCTATCGCTGATGAACTTATCCTTATACAATATCAATATTCAAAATTACCCGAAGCAGTCAATATCGGGCTATCACACCCATATTTTCAAGAGTTGGAAGCGATCAATCAATTGATATTCTTTCAGCTCCAGTTGACATTTGCTGAATTTTATTCACTTACATCCATCAGAAGATCGGAACAAGACCTCATAAAAGGACTAGGCAGTATAATTAAGAGTATTAGTGGTAATCTAGATTCTCAAGACGCTGAAAAGTATGACTAAACCATTATAGAATTGAAAAACAGTCGGGACAACATTATTTCTAGGGTGAATGATCACTCTCAAAACATATAATTGAAACTTTTAATGAAACAACTGCTACGGTGAAACCTAATCAACAATTAATTGCAAATAGAATCGATAAAATTACCTCTTGATTCAAATATCAACAGATCTAGAAAATGCAATAACTTTTGCAAAAATACATACTACGCACCCTAGCGTTTTGAAAATAAAAGATCTCGAAACAATGATAACATTTTTATCAGAGCATTATTTTTTTTGAGAATTTGTTCTTTGGATTAGACGCAGTAAATACATCTCGATATTATGATATCATATAGATATATGATATAGGTACATATCAAGAAAATAATAAAATCGTCTTTGTCATCAAATTTCCTTTGGCAATTCTACATATATTTACCCTTTACCATCTATACTCAATCCCTACCTTGAATGGAACCACCATTATACCACCTTCACCCTATCTGTCAACGAATGAGGTGTATTTTCAATATTCCACAACACCCTGCATGAACCTGCACGATGTCCATTACTGCCTTTGGAACAACCTCCGACCGGGATCCACCACGAGCGGTTGAATCTTCCAAATCCTAAGCATCGACAGTAACCTACTTAACTGCAAGCTGATACCAATCCAACAGGATTCAAACATTATCGAACAAGTAGATGAAGCCTATTATATTGACATCTAGACTATTTGTGGAACAACATACATAACCATTCTCAAGGGAGCATAATTGATCACCATACCTCTTGGATGTCAGTTCAAAACCCTCACGGACGAATATGTCAACCAAGCAACAGAAATAGAACAAGCCCTACTTCTACCTGCTTCTAGCTTCCTCAAACCTCAACAACCTAGGTGGTACCAGTCCTAAAACTTCAAGACGTCCCTCTAGACAAGCTAAACGAAAGCCTTAGAGATGCCGACCGCTTATTACCTTTGACAACACATATTCATCCATCATCAGGTTATATTTGGACAGTTTCAGCACATGCTATAATCCTATTATGGTTTTTGATCTTTGTTATTTTAAAAATATTGCTCTGCATAAACACTCGACTGAAAAATACTGCAATGAACAAAGTTAATGTGAGAATACTTTTGTGAAAAATTCAATCAAAAGCAGATACTTATTGAAAGAAAGGCAAAATTCCGAATATTTTTTGTAATTCCAACATAAATATTAAAATTAAAATACAAAAATGACACAAAACATAACAAAAATGGAGGTAGCTGAAATTCTATGAAGTAAATGATTTCTTACATATATTGATTTATAGCCAGTCTTGAGGTATGCCCACTGACTATATGTGAGGAGTTTTCTTTCCGAGGTATTAGGCAAATTTCGGATATGCAGTTGGTCACCTCGTTCAAAGGCAGATGGGGCGATGACATACTTGTTGTTTGTAATCCGCTTCAGCTTAGTTCTGAAGGAATTCTATTTTCAATTATCGGAAATCATCCACTTAATGTTGATAATATAATGATTGATTTTTTTGCTGGTATCTTTTTGACAACACTGTTTTTGACAGATCACGCGTGAATCGTGTGTCATTGTCAAACTTGTTCAGTTTGGTCTATAATTTAACCATGAATCGACTTACGAATGAAAAACGCTTGCGAATTATTGAATTTTATAATAAAAATTCATGCTCGATGAAGAAAGTGCATCGTGTACTTCTTCCAATTTATGGGCAGTTTCGTCGGCCTACTGAGGGAGCTATTAGGAAACTTGTGACCAAATTTCGAACCCAATTCACATTATTGGACATTAAACCACCAACACTCATACGTAGAGTGAGGACCGAAGAAAATATTTCGGCTGAATCCGCCAGTGTTCGTGGTGACCGTGAAATATCGATTCGCCGCCGTTCGGAGCAATTGGGCCTCTGTTACTCCACTACGTGGACAATTTTGCGAAAGGATTTGGGTATAAAACCTTATGAAATATAGCTGCTGCAAGAAATGAAGCCACACGACCTCCCACAACGTCTAACATTTAGTGAATGGGCGCTGGCAAAGTTAGATAAAGATCGACATTTTTATCGAAAAATTGTGTTCAGCGACGAGGCTCATTTTTGGTTGAATGGATATATTAACAAGCAAAATTGCCGTATCTGCAGTGGAGACCAGCCACAAGCAATGCAAGAGCTACATGCCACACGGCACGCGAAACAATGGCCCAATTAAGAGCCGCTTCCGGTGAACAGTTTATCTCACGTTTGGGACCCCTCAATTGACCTCCTCAATCGTGCGATTTAACGCCCTTGGATTATTTCTTGTGGGGTCATGTTAAGGCTCATGTTTACAGGGATAAACCAGCAACGACTGACGTTCTGGTAGGCAATATTGAAGCATTTCTACGTGAAATACCGGTCGATATGTAAGAGAGAGTGTGCCAAAATTGGTGCTTGCGCATGGGCTAACTAAAGCGAAGCCACGGACGACATTTGCATGAAATCATCTTCAAACATCAAATTATATTGATCGTTCTAGCGATTCCAATAAAGATTTCATCAATTTATTCAAATTTTTTGTGTTGTTTTGAAAGTCAAATCCTATACGTCTTGAAAAATCACCTGTTACGCTACCTCGCACTGACGAGTGGCCAAACAGCCCAAAACCGGTCTGCAAGTGTGTTCCAATAATTGAAAATCTATCGCCATCTATGTAACGCCAACATCATAAATATGCAGGAATAACTTCAGTGAAGAATCCTGCACTGACACCTGTCGGATATAATCCAACGCCCTTCGTAGTATTAGCCAGGGGAGTAGGTGTAAGTCCATCAAACTACAGTGTAGGGAGTTGAAACTGGCCTGTACGAATTGTTCTTTTAGATGAATGAAATAAATGATTGTTGTGGATATTTATAGTAATGTGCGAACAATTTTCCAACATTACTTCAGTCCACATTCTATTTATTCATTTGTGAAGTACCGCCACAATCGACAGTATTAAATTTTTTGAGATCCGAGAAAAATCTTTCAGTAACATTTGTACCTGCAGTTAAAGAGTCTTCAATACAACCCTTGGCTAGTGCTGATGATCTCCATCCCCCATGACTGGAATTACTGGATGTTTGGTGATGGCAGAAAAAAGTTGCAGGACCGTTTTGATTGCAATCTGCAATATTTATTTGAGGCTGATGACATTTCCTGGGTATCCAAAAAAAAAATAGTGAAACTAAAGTTATGAATTTTGAATACCCTGATACGTTGGTTGAGGAAAATCAATAACACTGTTCATGATATAATCACAAATTTTCAGAATAAAGATACGCAGTAAGAACCTCTAGTTGGTTTATCATTTTTTTATTTTCGTTCATGAAATAATGATATGAAAATAACTTCAGAATTTCAAAATTCAATAAGCTTTCTTTAATTAGAATTCCCTATCACCAAGTACAATATCCGCCACATATCACCTGGAGGGGACAACCTCTGAATAAAGAAATGAATCTCAAGCTTTTGGCGCTAATTAACAACAAAAATATTAGATAAGCAGAAAATTTCAATAAGAAAAAAATTATTTAAGCTGAAATTGCGGCTAACGAGTGTACCATTAGTAGTAAAAAGTTTGAGGACTTCAGATTTTGGAACAATCTGAGTTGGAAAATGATGGCTGTAGGACGAGTTTTGCTGTTGGTGGCAGTTTTAGGATATGTTGGGGTGAGTTTTTTCTGCACTTTCCATTTCACCACTGTAGTTACCATAAACCAATAAATAGGTGAAATTTTCGAAAAATGCCGCAATAAATCAGTGAAAGTAGTTTTTTCTGTTTTATATATTTTTCTGAATGAATATTTGAATGAAAACATATGTTTGATAACTCTATTATTGTGATAGGGTGGGAATTCTGAAGTTTCGACTATTTTTTTTGAATAGAAGGCGATTCAAAAAAAGCCTATTTCAAAATGAAAAGCTTATTTTCAGGAAAGAATAATAATATTCATGCAAAAAAGTGGGACGGAAGCAGTCAATTTCTAAAAAGGTAACCCTATACATAGATGTGTAGATCATGCAAAAAAGTAACTTTCAGACACAAACTGGAAGAAAAAATCCCTCCCAAAACAGCAACTTTCACATAATCTTTGTGTTGAAGATGAAGTTTTTTCAATTGTTTTTGTCAGCTTTTTATGTTTACCTGAAAACAATTCATATCAATGGTAAAATGAGCTCTTTTTTGACCATCAACGAAAACTTTTGAAAACACGTATAACAAAAATTGTAGGTATGTCAGATCACTTCACAGATCCACAGATTCTTCAAACAATGTGTCAAAACGCAATGAAAATTGGTAATTTACAGTAAGAAATTCTTATTCACCTGTTATATTTCTTGGAGTCCATCTTGTTGAACTTCTGGAGTGGAAAACTCACTGAAATTCCGAGAATTTTGTCTTGAATCTCAGAGAGTTTCTTAGCAAGAAACAATTACTGAAAATTCACCAAACTCAATCTAGATATTTTACCTTCCTTCACGTATGCATCTGTTGAATTTCGAGGTCATAGTCCATCTACCTCGGTCTTTTCTGCGAATTATACTATGGCTTTTGGTACATCTTGCTACGATATAGTCTGTTAGCCTCTGAAATATGCCTGATAAGTAGTTTTTCTGATATTTACAATGTGAATGAAATGAAAATAATGAATCTCAAAGACTTCTCCAAATCCTGAAGGTGACATCAATCATTGTCCATGTTTCAGGTATACATTCCAGAATCGAATTTGCTCTGAGGTCTACTCTCAGTTTTTGGAATGGAAGTTTCGTCTTTTTTCCAGCTTTCCAGCAGTTTTAAGTCTTTTCTACGTCTACCACTTTCTTTTTACCCACCAATCTACCCTGATCACTACTTTAGAAAGCTCTACTCCTAGTTTTTCTGTCATATTTGCGAATACTAATCGCGATTTTCAAATCCTTTCTCTGATGTTTTTTCGATGACCGTTTACCTTTAGTTCCTGGCCCAGTTGATTTTTTTACGAGTGCAGGACCAAGTCACGAGGCGAAATTCGTCAAGTTGTGGTCTGCGAAAGGCCGAGTTCTTGTGAGTGACGTGTAATCGACTACTTCGGATTTTCCTGCACACTCTCACGGTCATTTGACACAGCGATTCGACAGCTGATTTGACTGATGACCGTTATCAATTGTCAAAGTTACAAAGTTCCTCTTGGAAGATCTATACCTAATTTCATACCTGGAGAGGATAACCCAATTGAATAGGTTTGCTGTTTACTATAATTATATTCATTAATATTAGAATTTTTTCCAGATATCTCTGGCAAGAGGGGAATGTCTGAGATGTAAACGTGATACAATACAGGACCCTGGTAAGTGAGAGTATTCAAAAATAGTTGTGTAACTGATTCACAGTTACAATTTTAGCCACAGAAAATTTTATTCGAATAAGTTAACAAAAGAAATAAAATTTAAAAAACGTGTAAAGGAAATGAAATCTCTTTGTAAGCTAAGTTCATGAAGCACAATATAAAACTCCTTTAGAGTGATGTTGAAAGAAATGTAAAATCAATAAGATATTAATACTCATTTTTCCACTACTGACTATCACTACTATCAAGAAAAATCAACTTGAATCTCATTTCAATCTCTTTTTCAACCCCCAGATTAATATTAGATATAAACATTTACAATACAGAAATACAACTATCTGCATTGAATTTAGATTTTCTCATTAGCATTACCCCGTAGGATTAGGTATATCATGGGTGGCGAATTTGAAAATTCAAGCAGCTTCAAAGAAGATTTGAAAATGGAGCTTATATGTAAGCTAATTCAGAGTTTCTTGCAAGCAGACATTTTTTGTGTGACCATTCGGTAAGCGGTTGTATAGCCTGGGTAGAAAAAATAAAAAAGAGCCTCTGAATTGAGAGGTTTTATGTTTTGATGTGGTTTCGGCATCGAAGATTGAGGTTGTGTACGTCCGTCCTGTAACTGATTTTTCTATAAAGATAACTTGGTTTCTTTTCATTGATTATTTTATGAAACAAGACAGTAGAATGTAGAATGCGTGGCGACTCCATATTTAGCCATCCGGTATCTTTCAAAAGGTGTGATATATGGTCGCGTCTTTTTGTTCCAGTTATCAGCCTCACACATGAATTCTGTAGTGTTTGTAATCTATTCTTGTCAGCTTGAAGGAGATTGGGACCATATATTGTTGAGGTATAGTCCTAAGTTTTTAGGATTATCCTTGAGAGGTAACTCAACTCCGTTTGCAGTTATAGAAACCTTGTCTAGATTACGTGACAATATCCTTCCAAAGAGCATAACTACTGACTTAGAGGGATTGAAAGTTAAGCAATATTTGGTTGATGATTTCATCAGAGAACATAAGTCATCATTAAGTTTTTTCTGTGTTATGTCAGAAGTATCTTCATCGCATTCTATGTAGATTTGAGTATCATCGGAGTAGCAGATGACCCAAGAATATTGAAAAAAATCTGGAAAATGTGGTGTATATAATAAAAATAGTAGTGGGCCCCATATGCACCCTTGCGGAACACCGTTGCTAAAAAATCATCTTTGCTAAAATTTTGGAGTTCCAAAAATGATACCTGAAGACTGTGACATTTTCAAGTAGAAAAATATATTTCGATAAAAAAATATGGAATATGATATACTAACAATGAAAATTGTCTTTTTTGTAGGTTTGACAGCTGAGGGAAACGGTTCCGCTCGTATTGGTGCTGGAGTTTCTGGTGATGCTGATGGAAATGGTGGTGTTAGTGACGAAGATAATGGAACTGGAGGTGGTAGTTTCGAAGGATCTGGATCCGTTTCTGTCGGTGATGAGGGTCATGATTCCGGTTCTGGAAACTCTGGATCCAAACCCTCAGGAGTTGGTGATATTATCTCATCAGTGGAAGGTCTTTTGGGTGGTCTTTTTGGTTCTGGTTTTGGAAAATCCGGTTCGGAAGATTCGAAAGCAGGCTCCGATCAAGGAGATGTTGGTCTGGGAGGTTCAGTTCCAGAAGGTTCTGGTCCTGGTTCAGGAAATGTAGGGGCTAGTGACGAAGATAATGGAGCTGGAGGTGGTAGTTTCGAAGGATCTGGATCCGTTAGTGTCGGTGCTGAGGGTCATGATTCGGGCTCTGGAAATTCTGGATCTAAACACTCTGAACTTGGTGATATTGTCTCATCCCTGGGAGGTCTCTTTGGTGGTCTTTTTGGTTCTGATTCTGGGAAATCCGGCTCGAAAGATTCCGGTCCTGAGAGTTCGGGAGGTCGTTCTATTATAGGAGGACTCATTGGGTCCCTAAATGGTTCGGGCTCCGGATCTGGTCCGAATTCCGGAAGCGCTAGAGGTGGTAGTTCAGAAAGCGAAGGACCAGTAACATTTCCTGATCCAAATACTAATGGTTTACCTTCTGGAACAAATGACCATTCTCAAGAAAACGATGGTAGTGAATCCGGTGACTCTGGTGGAACTCCGGGCAATGGATCTGATGGAGGTAATTTTCACGTTAAACGTACATATGAATGATTTTCCGTATTTTCTATTTGCTGGGCAAACGAAAAGTTTTGAAAATTTTATTAATCACACCCAAACGATAATTGGCTGACCAGAATGTCGAAGTTTTGTTGGAGAGTTCAACATTATTACGCCAATAAAATATGGTTAGAACAATGGGTATATAATTTTGCAATAACACTAAAGAAAAAGACCTTGGGTGCAAGGTTTTTTTCTTCTTCTTCTTCCGGAAGGTGAATTTTCCAAAAATTCACCCTTTAGGGAAAAGAAAAATTATTGCGAGGTAAAAATAATGTATTTCGTACAGTTTAAAAATATCTAGGTCGGAATATCGAGAATTTATCTTATCGACTACGTATTTTGAAAATGGGCACTTGAATAATAATAACTCAATAATTCTCAATGTTAATCATAACCGAATATTCATGAAAGTTTCGCATTTCTGAGATACCTAATTTTTTTATTTTGGAAATTTTGGCAGTGACGATCATTAGCCTCTTATCAGTTGAGATACGTATGTTATAATGTCTTGAAATTTTAAATTTTTTAGGTGATAAGAGGATTAAAAATATCATAATTATTACCTATGCATATTCGTAACAGTCATTTTTATGAAATCAACGTCAACCATCAGCATTGTTAGTGTTTTTCAAAATATTCATCACTAACAGAAAAATTCCTAATAAAGATCATTCGTGGATGAATATCTGTTTGGAAGTTTGTATCAACCCAACAAATGTACTCATCAGATGCTTTATATTGAAAAAATATCCATATGAAGTGAATGAGAATAATTTAATTTTTTGCTTTTTGTTTGAAGGTGATTGACAATGTTTCATGATGAATTTCATCAGTTCGGACTTCCATTGCCTATTAATATATAAAATTATGTCAAATCCCTTGAAGAACCAATACAAATTGAAAATAAAAAAAAATAGCTGAAAGTAACAATTATATTAGGCAATAATTCCTCCAAGGGATGACTATTTATCAGAAATTCTAACGATATGGCGTAAGGGGAACCGCACTGAAATTAATGAAGTCTTATTTGCATGGCAGGACCCAAAAAGTAGTGATTCGGAAAACTGTAAGTCAGTCAGCAACCATTGAACAGGGTGTTCCACAAGGCTCAATTCTTGGCCCCTTGCTGTTTCTTATATATGCGAATGACTTGTTGCAGTTCATGAATAGTGTCACGGAAATACATGTCATTGCTTATGCAGACGACACCAATTTTCTCATAAAGGAGAGCAATGCAATAGCACCCGCAGAGAAAACAGAGAATGTCTATGAGCAGGTAGTAACATGGCCAAAAAAATCAACCATCACTGAACATCACGAAAACATCATTGATGAAATTCTCGCTGAATTCTGCTCATGACAATTTTAGCATTTATTAGAACGAGGAGTTGTATGTTGAATCTTGCTCAAAAACAAAGATGCTTGGCCTCACACTTGACTACAAGCTCACCTGGATCACTCACATTGTAACTCTGCGACAAACTCCGCAGAAATTGCTACGCTCTAAGATGTATGTCAAACCATTGCTGTAAACAAGTGTTGTTGAATCTGTACTATGGATCAATACAGTGCCATATACGATTTGGAAAACTGAACTGGGGCACTGGATCGTCTGTAGTGAGGGTTTTACACTACAGAAATATGCCATCAGAACTATTGCTCGTATAAGATGGAGGCAATCGTGTAGAAACATTTTCGAAGAACTCAAAATACTCACCGTCGCGGGTTTTTATATTTATGAATTATGCATATATTTGTACAAGAATGGTCATAATTTTATATCTAATCAGCATAAACACCCTACCCGCTCTAAAAACTTATTAATACCCCATATGCATCGAACCACCATATACCAAAAAAGCCACCTTTTTCTTGGATCAAAATTTTACAATAAGCTTGACGATTCGGTAAAGAATGCGCCAAATGTCAATATTTT